TTTATTCTTTAATAAATAAAAATAACATTTTAAACAATTATATTGTATAATAATATAAATTAAACAGTTTAAGGGGATACTTTAAGCATTCAGTGTTGAACCCTCTTGCGAAAAATTACATTGATAATCATTTGGAGCACCGTAAATATCAATTAAGAAGTAGCTGTACAGCCAACATCTGATAATCCCTGCTAGAACACTGAAGAGGCGTCGAAGCAGGCAACGCATTATCTCCCAAAGAGAAATGACACACTTTGGTCGAATACTTACAGGATTAAGTCCCCACTTCGCGTCTGTGTGAATAGCGTGAAAGAACGCCACGAGCTCTACTCCTGTTGTTCTACTCTCCCATTTATATTACTAACGCATCTGTATAACTACAGGTAGGCGAGAAGAGACTTCGACACGCAAGGGCTTTTAAGTCAGAGGACAGGCGACATTTTCATTTGTCAACTCTCTCCTGGATCTGCTGCTAGCTGTTGGAGGATGCTCACCCTTGGCAACAGCTGATTAAGCCCATTTATCAGAAGTGACTTTCAAGCCAGCCAACAAGCTGCCACTGCTTAAAGTTGCGGCTTAAAGCATGCAGTTGCTCACACAGGGAACAGTCGGCATGACTTGAATGTTGCAGAAAATTGAGGCTATTGTTGGGGCATGACAGCAACAATAAACATTAAATTTGAGAAGTTATACACACGTCAAATAAAAGAGACATATACAATAATCATTAAAACTTTAATTGCATATGATAAAAGCTGAACTTTGTTTGCTTTCTGTTTTTCTGATATTATAATGATATGATATAATGAATGTCTTTCGGATATTTGTACGCAATGTATTTATATCGTTATGAAGGACTTAGTGCTAAGCCATTCGAATTATTGTAAGAAATATATTTATATTTTTGGGAAAGGTAATGAATATAATTTGCTAAATTTCCCGTGCTTACATGCTTAAATTTTGTATAGCAAAATAAATATTTTTGCCAGGCTGAGTTCGTTATGTTGCCTTATATTAGATAGTAACTCACATTCATGTGAAATAAACAAACTGAAATAGCTTCCCACTTAACTCCAAAACAATGCCAGGTGAGGCATTTAATCAATCGCAACTCAGCGTCCTTCGAGGCCTCGCCCCTTGACGTCTGCCTACTTGGCACTCATCGGAAATTCAGCTTCGCATTTATCAAATAGTTGGCGACTTTCCACATGACGAATTGGAGCAAGACAACCGAGTGTACCGGCAAGCAGCTTATTCTGTCTCCAAGGATTAGGGGCAAGTTCTCAGTCGCTCTGCTAGGTATGGAGTCCCAACAAATTTGTCGCGTTGACAGGCCAACAAAAACTTTGAATGATTAATCTGAGCATTTGTTCAGCAAATTGTTGGTGATTTTTGCCAATTAGTCTTCCCATCGATGTATCTCTTAATTTCGATTGTCAATCAAATACGTTGAGTCTTAATTCGATGTCACGACTCATTTAATTTCTTATGTCTGAGGTGCTTGCCTTTTGGCAGTCTGTCCACATTGATTGTATGGCATAATTGAATAAATATGATTGTTTCACCGACTCGCTAACAATTTAAAATATGTTAATTTTTTTCGCAAATATAATTTTGTAAGGCTATTTTGTTATGAATGCTTTTCAAACTTAAAGCCGAAATTTTTGATGCACAATACTATACTTAAAGGTATATAATAGTGATATTTATAAAGTTACACGAGCAATACCAGTATTTCTTTATCCCTCATTTGCTTAGCCCAGTTTTCCATAACTTATTACACAAGCCAAAGGCGAGCAGCTATCTGTCAATGTAATTTTATTGGCTGACCAATCGAATGAAAAAAGGATGCTCAGGACTTCGGTGGTGTAACTTAATTTTGTCCTTGTTAGTCAGAGGCTTGATTTTACTCTCAATGGGCAGTCTAAATGGTTTGTGTGCAATAGCAATAAAAGCCCGAACTCTTTAAAAATGGTTAAGCAAGATTGGCTGCTTTGGTTTAAGTATAAAACAGACAAATGAAAACATTTTCCTACTCGTGTATGATTCTTTATATGTTTTCAATTGATTTTAGAGCCCCTAGAGAAATTTCTGGCGAAATTAAATTTTTTGCCTTTGCAAAGTTTCGGTAGTAAGACAACAGCTACACCTAATCCTACCCACATTTTCCGTAAAATTTAAAAGTCAAACTTATTTGTGCTCTAACACTATTCAGATTCAAAATTTAGCAAACATTGAAAATGAAAGTTCATATTTGAGCACCTTACCTAGAGTAAATATAGTTTACCACCGGACTTATGCCTGCCTATTATTGAGTAGTCTTACTCTATTCAGACCGCCTTTAGAGGTCAACTTCTCTCCGAAACAAAGCGCTCGATGACGCATGCTGATTTGTGTGAATCGAAACTGTTGGGCGAAAGTTTCATATCCGTGTCCGTCGAACACATTTTATTTGCAGGAATTATGTGGCTATTTTTGGCATAAAATTGTTGGTCCTTTTTGGGTGTTGGGACTTTTTATCAACTCGCTTCTGGCTGAATACACAGCGCACTCAGTGCAAACTCTCGCACAGAAATAGAGCCCGCAGCCAAATATTATAACGTATATATTTACAAAATATTTCGCATTTCTTTTTGCCACTTTTGTTATCCCCTTAGAGGAATATGTTTGGCTACATTTGCACACTTCACTATACCCGCTTCAAATATTTCAGAGTGTGTATTCTCTTTATGCTAATTTCATCAATTCCAGCTGTGAATTGTTGCACCCTTTGAATGGACGAGTTTCTATTCCGCATAAACCACAATTGTTTTACACTATATTACAAAAAAGTTATTAATATTGTTTTACTGTTCAGTAACGTTCTTTCGTATATTTTGCATGTAAGGCGAAGCTATAACCCAACACGGAAAGAACCAGATGGATCATATACAAAAACATTGATGATATTAATGTAGCGGAGAGCATATATTCTTCAGATCGGTATACATCTAGGTGGCGATTATGTACTAGGCTGGCACTATAGAACGTCATTAAAGTCACGTATAGGAAAGTCCATCCATCGGCGAGCACCAGGTATCCTTTATGGACCGAAAACACAACAATCACTGTTAGTATATAGACGATGGTATAGACAATTGTTGCTATCAACATTGCGCGATAGGTGGGTATGCAGCACAGCGGACAGCTTGAGGCAATGCCGTACAGAATCACGTTGAGCACCAAAACCGCCAATACAACCGCGGAGGCCAACCACGAACTCATCGAGGTCCAGTCGTAGCATATGACACAAAGGGTCATACTCTCGACGGTCACGAAGCCCAAGGTCCAGTTGATGGGAAACGTGTCGTGCAGCTCGGTATATACCATGAGGATGATACACACCAGGCCTGTGACCAGCCACATTAGGCACGGCATCGGCACCGTGCCGCGCAAATCGAACCTCGTAGTCCTCGCTATTGCCATCTGGCTCAAGCCGATGGCTACGAAGAGCAATGCCACCAAATAGATCTTCTCCATTCGCTTCTTATCCCTCCTCGTTAATCTCAATGATAGATCGCTCTTCACCTTTACTGATTTTATTGAAAGAATTTCGACGGCATCCATTTTGGTTTTTCTTTGGTAAATTATGAAAATTTATTAATCTTGAAAGCAATGTGTACGAAAATATATAATAAATGTGTCATGAACTGAAAAGAGTTCTTGGATCGTCCCTTAGTACCTGAATTTGTGAACCTAGTATTAGATATTGCTAGCGACTTGAAATTTGAATATGCTTCTCTCATCAGTTTTGTACTTATGCATAAATTCAACTCGTTGAAGGCTTAGCGCCGCCTTCTTATATATTCTGAGACTGAAAGGGTCAGCAGTAGTCTGCCTATTTAGATTTGGCATAAGTGGCCCTTATCTTTATCTCTGTCTGCACATCTGTATATATTATGAATGTTCATGCCTGAACACGCGTATACATTTGCCAAGCAGAAGTGTCAATTCATATGCACAAGCACTCCACCCCGGTCACATGTTAGACCACTGAAACTGGAAGACAGACATGGATACTCTGCTCAGACACAACAAACAACTCATAAACCACCAATACGTAGTATAAATCTAGCCTACAAATATTTGTATCTTATGTTTTAATCCTTATATACTATATACTATTCTATATATTATAATTTTACATACATTCATATGGTATATTAGCCCTGTAAATTCACCTTTCTGCAGACAGTGCTTACCATTCACCATTCAGCTGCTGAGGAGCACACGCTAATCAATGAAACGTGCTGGCTTTCAATGTGGTCTGTCCTGACACTCGGCCATGTTTACACACGCCCTCTGGCCACCTTCTATTTCTTTCTGTCGGCTTTGGCCAACAAGCGCGCGGCAGTTGGGCTGCATTTTAATTGGCATTAGCGGTAAGACAAACAAACGTCAGAAAACAACGCGCGGCATGTCAAAAGGCCCAAACGGATGACTTCGCGCCTGAAAGTTAAAAATTCATTCAAACAAACATGACCAGACACAAATGGCGAAATGTCAGAAGTGAAAGCACCTGACATAGCCAGTTTGAGGTGATTAAGCTCAATCGAAATTAACATTTGGTAAGAAACGTATATTTTTAAAAATTTATTCCTTGCTATTGCTTGCATAAATTATTATTCTATTATTACTCTAGACGACTTAATTATTTGTTCAGGCTGTTGAGGAAGTTTTCGTATGCACTTAAAATAAATAATTGTTGGTCTTAAATAAGCACCTCAGTCTATCTATCATACAACGGCCATTATAAATATGACTTTCGTGATTAGATCAGGTAGTACTCTCAATATTATTATTTATCCAAGGGAGACTTAATATCATATTAGGACATGCATTCAAAGCCTCCCTTTAATGCAATCAGAAGCAAAGCACGTGTGCAACAACTTTCTTTAATTTACAACGAAATAAGATGAGAGCAATAGCAAGGCTCGCGAAAATCTGTGATTTGAGATGGGAACGCTTAACAATTTCGGTATGAAAAGTTGTACTGTCACAAAGGCCATAGCCAGAATATCGAACGGTTATTAATTTCATTTGAATCAATGCAAATTTAGCAGAGTTTCGTAATTAAATTGTAAATTCGCATTTATCAATGCGAAAATAGTAGAGTCAATTTATTTTCGACATATTATTACCAAAATAAGCAATAATAAAGAATTAATAATGCAAATATGCTGCAAACACAGCTGAAAGCCAAATGAAAGTAATTGAATAGAACGCCGAGACAAAGGATAATTAAAATATATTTAAATACAAATTGAACATTGCCTTTGTCACGATTTTTACAAAAAATTGCCAGATTTTAGAGGTTTTTATGCTCTTTCTTCTTTGAAATTAAATTTAAAAACCTTATTAAATATTTAGATAATTAATTTTATTCTGTTTCCTTTAATATCCGATTTGACTTTTTATAAACAATATAAAAACTAAAAAAGACATATTTATACACACATTAAATTTTTTTTCATATTTTATTGTTTACTTATTTAAATTTCGTTATTATATGCACGTATGTACATTTTTTCCCGCCGTTCACATTCACACACACATTCAATGACAGATGTGAGTAAGTATTATGGCAACTTGCCATAGTAAGTAATTTAGATAAATACGCACTCAACACTCAAGTCGATTTGATCAATTGTGCATACTCAAATATAAAAGACTTGATTGTGTTGCCCATTTCCCTTGGGTGAGTGTGAAAGTCAAAATGTATTTCACATAATATTTGGAAATTGCTATCAATGGCGAACTGACAGCTAACAGATGTGCGTTGCCTCGGCTTTATGGCTGTTGTATATTTAGCTATGAGTGCTTTAAAATGCATAAGAATTTAATTTTGGCTTCGGGAACGGCACAGCTGAAACCGTTAGCCGTCACGTATACGCAGCGATAACCACCACCAATCATCTGTCTCTGCAGCCACGTGACATGCGATTGAACGAATAAATCAGGGAGCTAATAAATTTTTGCAGCACCTCAAAAACCGCCCGAATGCGAACAACGCTCGCAATAAACATTAATGCCAGCGAGCCATTAAGAAAGCGCAAGTTAACAGGCAGTCAAAAGGAGCCCACTGAAAGCTTGGAGGGAAAGGGAGACAGATCTAGAGAGACCAGAGCACGGAATGGGACACAGAGCGAAGAGGAGTTGGCTGAAAGGTTGATTCGGCACAGACCTAGGGAGCATGTGCTTATACAGGCAAGCACACGCACACAAGAATCCACGCGACACTTCCGGTCTTTCAATTGAATGCGTTGTGCACCACGCGGCGTATACGTGTTATTTTCCAGGCGTATGCGTGATTTTTTCCGCTCTTCACCGTGGGGACTGTTTAAATTGGCTTGCCGTTTTCGCTTTCCTTGTCGTTTCTATTTTCGTTTTAATATATTGAATTTTATTATTAAAGACTACATCATGCAGCTGGTCCTCCTGCCTCTGTCGTGTTTTCATCAATTATTATCAATTAACGTAGATTCAGTGGTAATGCAATGAAAAATATTTCCAACTCACTGTTATATATAAAATGTAAATGTATATTACATTTGTGTTCTAAATAACAAACCTACTCAAACAATAATAATAATCCTTCGGCTCATGTAGAGTGTAAGTGCCAACAGCTACTATTTCTATTCAAACATTGCCAAATCATCTAAATACTGTAATTGTTTTCTAATTGTGAGTGTGTGCAGGTCTACATATTCAACTTCGTCTTTATTCGAATAATTACTACTATATGCTATACCTGCATCAACTTTCTATTAAATCCTAGCTGAAGCTTGTACTTTGATGTTCTTGCATATTCATATTAACTCAAATGGAATCAATGACGAAAGGAAATCGTAAGGAGTAGAAATAGATAGAAATTTAAAAATGATTGGAATATGACAAAGTGTCGGTAGTTACCGAATATTTAAAGCTCGTTCAAGTTAAATTATTTCTTGGATCAAAATTCTGTTCTCAACAGTTTTTCAATCAAATTAAAATTTGTGGTTATATCTTTACTTATTCTGGGGTCACTTTATGCTATACTCGCTCGCATTTTGAAATCTAGAAACAAACTTATATATGTTTTTCCATCTTCCGTACCCTGGTGGGCCGGTCCTTAAAATGCTTTTTGTCTTCGCTACCCTTGTTCTCAATTTAATTGCAGAGCTATATATAACGAGAATGATTTTTCTTTTCTTTTACGGCTCGCATTGTAGTTCTGTTTTTCGTTGCGTGCGTTTCTTAATTGTGCTTCAAAAGTTTTTCACCCGTAGACGAATGACAAAGCAGTTTGCATGCTGTTGCATTTGGAGGGATGGGTCGATGCATGGCCCCCACCTTTTTACCGCAACCAACACAAAAGGGCGTTCCTTTGTTGTCCTTCCCAAGTAATATCATGCTGGGCAACGAAAAACAATAGACACACTCTGAGAAAATAAATGCGAGACCACAGCCAAAGGTAAATATTAAATATTAAAACTAAAGGTGGAGCGCCCAAGATTTCCAGTGGACTTCATTCTAGATATCATCGTCCTGTTGACCTCAGTAAACTGAAGAAAAGAATAGAATTAATAGCTGCTGCTACTTGTTGACAACATGTCAAAGAAAACAAGTAAGAACGTTGCAGTCGGGCGATACCGATTGCAGAAGACTCATTCACAGCCCAAACGCTGTCAACCAGAGTATATAGTGCAATTTTCAAGTCTAGTGCGCAACAAAAAACAGGGCATGATCCCATTTAAAATGGGAAAATCATCGATAGCTATTGCTATGATCATTGCATAATTGCATTCAAATTACATGCATATGTATATAATTTATACAATTTTGACTTTTAATAATATACATGTATTTATATCCATATATTGGATACCGGCTTCAAGCTAGCAGCAGATCAGCGCGATTTTACTATACATGTGCACACACTCATCGTCTATTCTATGCGTACAGACAGAAGCGCGCCTTTTCTCACATTCTTAGAATTTCGATTGATTTCTGGACTTTCTAGCCGTTACTGTAGTTTTGTCTGATGACGCTCTCTTATTAAGCTATTCTATTTTAGCAGCTGAGTGCTCGAGCAAAGCAATGGCGCGGGTGCTAAGGGCGACGCAAGTAACGTTAGAGTAGGGAGGTTCGAACCTCTACTATGTTTTTTTTTTTTTTTTTTTCATACATTTTTCGTTTTTTATAAAATAGATATTTTATTGGGAAGGTGCGAGCTTGACTGAATGGCACTTAATACTTTTCATTTTCTTAGTCGAATAATTTTATAAGTTTAAATTTGTTTCTTCTTAAATAGCCCTCAAATACATATA